CATGGCCTGATGTAGTCACCTGAATGTACTCCACAGCCTTTCAACATGCTAAGGGTCTCTTTTACTTAAATAATATGCTATTCTCAGGTCACCTTCAAGAATAGGTTTTTCATTCTCTTTCTCTTAAAAACAAAACCAAAGACACATTTGACATTGTGGCATATACAGTAAGCTTATCAGTAATTTTTGCAATCAATAAGATGAAAAGTTTACCATTAAAAGTATCAGATTTAGCAATAATTTGCTCTTACCCCTTTCCTCAATCTCAACTGGCTTCTCGGCCTTACCCAGCTGATGGAGTTTGGATGTGTCGTCCCCTCCAAAACTCATGTGGAAATTTGATCTCCAATGTGACAGTGTGGGAAACTGATTGAGTCATGGGGACGGATCCCTCATGAATGGATTAATGCTCTCCCTGGGGGGAGGGGAGGGATTAATGAGTGAGTTCTCTCTCTCTTAGTTCCTTCGAGAGCTCATTGCTTAAAAAGACCCTGAAAGCTTCTCTCTCTCTCTCTTGCTTCCTCTCGCCATGTGATCTACTTGTACCCGCCGGCTCCCTGCCACTTTCCACCATGAGTAGAAGCAGCCTGAGGCCCATACCAAATGCAGCTGTCCCAGAATCATAAGCCAAATAAACCTCTTTCCTTTATAAATTACCCAGTTTCAGGTATTCTGTTATAGCAACACAAAACGGACTAAAACACCAGCTGGGATGCCTGTATAGACTGAATTTATTGTCTATACAGTTTGTTTACAAATAAATCATATCCCATCTGCTTCCACAAATAAGCAAAATATATTTTGCTTCGTGGGCATTATCACACGATGCAATTATTTGGCTTATTTACCTTTCTCCCTCTTGTAAGCTCTCTGACACGTGTTCACAACTCTATCCCTAGTACCCCGCAGTGTAATTGAATAAGCAAGTATGTGGAGAGCCAACCAAACCTTTAAAATCAACGTATTGTAAACTTAAAAAAACATTTTAAGTTATTCCATAAATATTCCTATTTCAATGACTTAGTGAAAAAGGAATACATACACAAATATGTATACATATACACTTGTAAAACCATACGAGTTTACCAAACAATCTGAAACAATTCAAAATACCAATGCTTTTATTCTCTCTTTGAAACCAAGTGCAAGCTAGTACCATATGATAGATTATCATCATTTGTTAATTCATCACGGGTTCATTGAATGTACACTGTATAAAGCATTGTGCCAAATATTAAGAGAATGCATTCTCCACCCTAAATGTGCTTGAAATCTTGTAGGGAAGGAAAAATATATACACAAAATGCTGTGAGTCAGTGTTGGAAAAATGGAACAATTTGGTCAGGTTCTGTCGCCTCAGAGTTGGTTCAGGGTCGTTCAGTAAACATTTGTGTGTGGGAGTGGGATAAGTGTGCCTGGAAGGTGGTGCCACTTTGGCTGGTGTTTACTGCCTCAGGCGCTGGCCCTGTGCAGCCACGTTTTTTCCAGACCTGCAGCTTCCAAGTACCCTGTGGCCAGTTGCCTAGCTTAATGACCTATGTGAAGGGGTCTGGTGACCCAGCCTGGCGCGGAGGGGTCTGGTGACCTAGCCTGGCATGTGAAGGGTTTGTGACCCAGTCTGTGAATTGGCTTGAGGGGTCTGGGAGCTCCAGACCCAGCCCTAGCTCAACCATCAGCCCAGTCAGTGCAGGATTACCAGCAGGTAAAAGAGCCACGATGACTAGCGTGGTCACCTAGCTTTACAATTGGCTTCACAAACAGGATTAAGAGCTAGACAATTGGCACTGTGAGTAGGATTCCAGACAATAGCCTTTGTCATAGCCAGACAGCCACTATATAAAAAATGTGTGAATTGCAATCAAAGCTCTACAGGAATTGTAAAAAGAGAAGACTCCAGCATACGTGGTTAGAGCAGAGTTCCTTGCACTGAGCCTCAATGAACAGGTGGCATTTCCACAGGAGAGGTGGGATTCCTCATGGGATTAGTGATTTTCAGTAGGATCTCCGAGCCTGGGACTCACACTATCTATAAATAAGTTTATACTTGCATTGGATTTGGGTACATGTATTAATAATGTTAATGTATTAAATGTAAATATTTAAAACATACCAAATTTTTTGGAAATCAGTTTGAGGATTTTCATTTTAATATATCAGAAACCTTGTCACTGGGAGTGGCCTAGGCCCCCTGCAGTCTAAAAAACTGATAAACAAGAAAACCATAAAAATATGAAAATTGCAGTCTGTTGGAGAAAGTCCTAAATATGCCCTTAAGATCATATGACAGTCATCTAAAGTTATCTAAATAATATTCACTCTTCTGAAGAAAACATTCTCTGGGCCTAACTCCTTTAGATGCTTTTATTTAATTTTGCTACTTAAACAGCAAAGAGAAGTCTAAGAAAGAAAAACATCAAGTCAGGCCTGTGGTATTGAATATTCTGAATGCAGTAACAGTTCCAATTACTGAAACTAAGATGAGTTGTCCTTACAGCAAAAATAGATGTTGGCAGTTTGAAAGCAAAGTTGGTCTTAGGCTGAAATCCATGGCTACTATATAATATAAGAGGTCAATAAGCTTTATCAGGCTGCCTTTGGGGTCCAGAACCCCCAAGCTATTAAGAATTTAACCCTCAAATGAGGCAACTGTTCATTCATTTATTTCTCCCTTATGAAATGTCAGATACTTGGACCCTGGTGATCCAACATTCTGAACAGATTATCATCCAAAGGCAGGAAACACAAGTCAACAAGTCATATGACCCCTGAGGCTTCAGTTATTTCTTCTGAAAAAACAAAAGTAAATGAGGGGCATTGAAATGAATGCTCTTTCCAAACATAATATTCTATGATTCCAACACCTGAGCCACAGTAAGGGGAAAAAGCCAATTCATCAAAAACGAATTGGTTGATATAATAAGTCACTTTAAAATATTTATGATCACTATCTTTTAAGTTATCCTCAAATTTATGCAAGTCGAGGCAATTCAGCAATTTTTTATGCAATCAAAAGACCTTTGTATTTCGGGCCGGCCCGGTGGCGCACTGGATAGTG